TTCTCCCAATCGGGGGGATCGGTGAGGGGAAGCTGCCACCCCTGCTTACGCTGCTTGTGGTGTTGAAGACTACGAAAAGCCCCCCAGCTGAGACACGATGCCTCCTCCGCCTTTTGTCGAAGCCACTGCTTATGCTCTTGTTCCTTTTGCTTCTTGACCTGCTTCCATGCTTGTCTTGCTTCTCCCCCCTGTAGTTGGTGTGCTTTGTGGCGCAGTTGCTTGAGTTCGGGGCTCTCACGGTACTTGAGGGTTGTTCTGCCAGGTGTGGTGATTGCTTTGGCCATGTTGGCAATGCTCAGGTGAGGGTCTTGCGCCCTGGGGGGTGGTCTGCTGAGTGCGTGTTCCACCGCCCCCTCTGTTTTAAGTCTGCGAGGTCCCCATGAGGAGGTGTCGGGGTTGTTGCGGTCCTTCGCCAAGTTGAGCTGAAGGGTCAATTAGACCCCGTCATGGTCGGTAGCTGCCCTGTGTCTGCAAGCAACCACACCCCCCTGTTTGTGCGAAGTGCTGCGACAGGCAACGTAATCGAGGCGTCTTGGTGCGAGTCGGGTGTTGTAGGGGTGGTGTGTTGGGGTGGTGATGTCCTGCAGTGGAAAGGTAATGTTGTGTTCGCTCGCCCATTGAAGGATGCATTCCCCCCGCCCGGTTGCTGAGTTTGTGGCTGATGTGAAGGGCTGGGTGAAGACCTCATTGGCATCCATACCAACAACCAATCTGTCGCTGCCAAGGTGTGCGCCCCATCCTGTGAGAATGACGTTGGTCTCAGGGATTGTGGCGTGGTGTGGGATGTGCCCCGAAAGGCATCTGATTTTTGTTCCTCCTTTGAGGAGGAGGGTGGTGGTGATCCCCCCAGTGTGGCCATGCGTGTTGCGGTGCCCACCCAGGGTCTTCTTGTGTGCAATCCCAACCCCTCTCCATTCAGTTGCTTGTTTGCTGGCCACCATGCTCCAGTTGTCACTTTCCCTATGAAGGGTCCCAGGTCTGAGGATAACCTCTTGCAAGAAAACCACCTCAATGTTTTGCATCTGCGGGTGCCCCCGGAACGACTCGAGAACCTCCAGCGCGTTTTCAGCCGTGAGTCCCCCGACGTTCCAGGAGAAGACGTCGAATTCTGTGACAGTGTATCTCCTCCCCCCTTGTACCGCTTCACGGTTTGGGTGGGGGTGAAACTCATCGATGTCAGTTCAGCGAAGCTCTGCTGCCAGGGGCTCCCATGCCCTCCGCAGCTCTTGCTCGTTGCGCCCCAATTGGCGGGCGATAGCAGCAATATCTATCCACCCTCCCCCGGCTTCCTCTGCTGTCGGTGGCCTTGCTGTGGTGGCGGAGCTCGTCTTGACATTGTTGACCCATGTGCTTCCGGTACCAAACTCCACTTCCAAGCGGCTGTGTCCTCCCCCTTGGCTTGGCCACAATCGCTTGACTTTCCCCGCCAATCTTGCTCTGCGTCGGCGCTCTGGGCTTTGGGAGATGGCGATCCAAGCTAGCTTTGGTTCCCCCGTGGGTTTGTGCCCCACCTCAACCGCTGCTGTTCTGACTCGGGCGATCGCTGCCTGCACTCGTTTGCGTCTATCATCGGAGGACTCCCCGGGTCGGTCTGGCACTGGTAATAGCGCGTATCCCCGGCGGATGCCGGGCA